GGTGAGGTGATATGTTGCAGCAGCTTTGGATGAGGTGAACAAACTTTTGACAAACACGAGATAGAACACGGAGCAATCGGTATTAATTCGATATATGAGGGCATAAGAATGGAAGTAACTGCAAAGGGCCTATTGGCCCATACTTCCTCTTGATGCTTTTATATTTGTACGGAGTCGTGACGTGGGAAGAATATAGTTGTGCAACAATATTCGACTCACTGTTTAGTGTTAGCATAAGTAAAACTCTGTTTAGTGTTTTCAGGTTACAGTTGTGTGTGTAAACTAAAGTCTTTGAAAATGTAATAAGTTATTACGAAACTCGTTCAAGCGTCGCGTCAGACAAGAAATAAAAATGAGTTTTGGAGAATTGATTTTTCAATTACCATCGACAGAAAAAAGAAACATAAGAAATATTGAGAAAATTCGTGTTAGAATTATTAATCTTACTTTTTCGGTCATATTTAACAACATATATATATATATACACACATTGATTGTACATAACTTGAAGAAATTGTGAGTTGATTTCATTCACTTAAGAGGAAGCATGATGTTTCATTTGGAAGAAATTACGATGTTTAGTTATTTGAGATAAGGCTATAGAGCGTCTTAGCCATGTTAAGATGGTGGAGCGCGCAAGGAAGGAGGCAAGAAATCCCGCCCATGAGCGAGGCCTCCGGTGCATTCTGGGAACGGGGCCAGCCATGGCGTGATTGGTCGACAGCGAGGCTTTTGCCAGGAGAAGCACGGCATCACACATCTGGCGTGATGAAGGCACGATGGTAAGCGCACCTGCAGAGAGTTGGAGAGCTAAGATCACTAGCTACCAGGTAGTCAAGCTGAGTGGAAGTGTTCTCATAAGCTCACCTGTCAGGAAAAGGTATAGGCCTCCAGAGGGTATAGTTGGGACAACTGACATGTACCGACGAAGAGGAAGACCATTCGACTCCTGTGGGTGTATTTTAGACAGAGCTTTGCTGGTGTTTGTACAACACCATGGGCTCGGTTTCTACAGTGACCTGAGTAAATTTGTGAAATAGTGCTGGGTGGAGTGTTGGACATTCCTGCAGGCTGCGCACGTCGGAAGTTGTGTGGAGCCGAAACGATAGCAGTTCTTATCTACTGAAACTCAACGATCGTTTGCTATGATACAAGGGAGGGAGTGGACAGTACGCTGAGTGTGTTAGTTTGGGTGAGCCAGGCTACGTCTGTCATCTGTGGAGGAATATTTGGTGTAGGAGCAGTTCCCGATGAGGAACGAGCAAGCAGACGGTTTGATCGTGGCTCTACTAGGAACCTCTTATCGTAACGTTTTATCTACGACCTCCAGTATCAGTCGATGAGTTAGATAATTTTGCTCTCCCATTTCCCCCTTGTGATAGGAAAGGTTGTAACTAAATAATGTGATAACCATGAATTACATGTGAGGTGACATTGAACTTGTGCAGTTTTATATTAAATATGAGGTACCAGTGATTTTATCTTGGAGTGAATTAGGCAGTGGTTTGAAGACTACAAATTATTGAAGAAGCTTTGTCATATATCTGTTTATGTCAAGTGATATAAATGTTTACGAGACAGCCTCATATGGATGATTTTGGGCGACAACGAAGAGTCGCAAGATGTGATATTAATTTCATTCAACGAATTGAGACAGATTTTGGCCAACTGCCAGTGTAGAAATCCATCGATTTTATTAGCGTGTTTATTTCTTCCCCGCTATTTCTTTATTGTGTTATTATGAGAGGTTTACTGTGCACCACACCATTATTGTGAAGGTACTAGACTGTTGGATTTAAATGCGCCTTATATGCAATACTGAGTTAAAGTATTACTTGGCCGCGAAGCAGAGCAAGTTATGTTGGCGACCTTGAATGAATACTTTTATGTCGGGCAGCCTGACCTGGATAAACCCTGAGTTTCCGTATCCACGGATACACCAGCAAGAAACTAGGGAGAGGACGAGTTACCTCACTCCCTGCGGGGTGAAAGGCCGGGTTCGGTGGTGAAATTCTGCACCGTTGGTAGACTGAGGTGCTCCCCAGTGGTGAACAGTGGCACCCAGGGAGTTGGAGCAGGGCCACATCAGCGAGGAGCTCTGAGGGAGGGTGCTGAGGGACTCCAGGAATTCCGCCAGGCTGGTTGATCAAAGGTCACTTCCCATCTCAATATAATACAATTTCAACGAAAAACACATTTTCAGAAAACTACTTAAAATATACATTTTGACACTTTATTTCTAGTGTACTGAACTATCACAATACCACCTTATCCTGATTTTACATAAAAAAATTGATATATATCACGTGAAGCTAAAATTCATATTTGTATGTACCCCACCAAAAATGAATAGGTAATGAATATTTATCACTAACACTAATGCACTTTGGTGTTTAGGTGTTAAACAACTTAGCCCACACTCGAGTGTATGGCGGTCAGACGTAAAACTTGGACTGCTTTCCAGACTTTCTGTGATTTCAGTAGAATCTGGTTATATGACTTTTACCAAGTCAGTGGTAGAGTATGCGGCTGGGAATGCCATGGTCGCGAGATCGAGTCACCTGAGAGCCCCAGTGGATTTTCTTATTTATATATATCACGTTAGAGTTATTTCTGTGTGTAGTTAATGCACCTATTAAAAAAAGCTTCTATAGTAATTGTAAAGCTAAAAACTTTACATATGTTCTCCTAACTACAGGATTTAAGAGAATACTGGAACCGTATGCTGTTCTTAGCATACAAAAAAGAAGCATAGCATGGCATTGCCGCTGCACCAGCTGATCTTTCACCCCACGATATGGTTCAGCCACTTGGGCTGTTTTTCTTTATTTCTCACAGCTCTAGAACGTATAGCCAATGAAGCATTCTCCAAACATGTTCTCTATGCATTTGTCTTCTTCATTGTCAAGATAAAAGTATGCCCCGATGCAGAGATATCAAGCAGGATATGCCACATAACACTGCAAGAGCGTGCTGCACTTCCTCCCTTTCCAACTCCCTTTGGGGTAACTGGTATGCTCAGTAGCTGCTCTGATTTCCTCCACCAGCCTAGGGCCAGATTCATGAATCAGTTACGCAAGCACTTACGAACCTATACATCTTTCCTCAATCTTTGGCGGCTTTGTTTATGATTATTTAAAAGTTAATGAGCTCAGAAGCACCAGGAGGCTGTTTATAACAATAACAACAGTTGATTAGGAAGTTTTCATGCTTGTAAACTGTTTAATAAATGTAACCAAAGCCATCAAAGATTGAGGAAAGATGTACACGTTCGTAAGCATTTGCGTAACTGCTTCGTGAATCTGGCCCCTAGCATATAGAAATATGCCAGTGACCACCAGATTATTATTGTAGGAATAACTGATATAAAACAGATAACTCTACTACAGTCCGCATGAGTTGGTCACATTTTCACTTTATGATGGGAGGAGGGGGGGGGGGGGAAGGAATCATTCATAATTACGTTATTTGTTATCAAAATAACATCCGGTTTGCAGTATGGTGTTGCGATATGCAACAGGTTTCTAAACATATTTATAAATAAATTGTCGCCTTTTTGTTGAAATTTTTTCAATAATTGTTAAAGTTATTGTCTCATTGTGACAACCTTTAAGCACATGTGTCACAAAATTCACAGTCTCCGGGGTGCAGTGGTAAGACACTCGCCTGGCGTTCCGCGAGCGATTTGTCATGGAATCGTATCCTAACCGGGGAGGATTTACTGGGCGCAAATCCTTAACTGTAGCCTCTGTTTAACGCATCAGTAAAATGTGTACTTAGTTGTAACAACGATTTTTCGCGGCACGGATCGTATTCCAGGGACCTGCCCAAAACGCTATGCGTACTAGTGGCTGTACAAGAATGTAACAACTCTTGTATATATATATATATATATATATATATATATATATATATATATATATATATATATATATATATATATATATATATATGTCGTACCTAGTAGCCAGAACGCACTTCTCAGCCTACTATGCAAGGCCAAATTTGCCTAATAAGCCAAGTTTTCCTGAATTAATATATTTTCTCTAATTTTTTTCTTATGAAAAGATAAAGCTACCCGTTTCATTATGTATGAGGTCATTTTTTTTTATTTTAGTTAAAATCAACGTAGATATTTGACCGAACCTAACCAACCCTACCTAACCTAACCTAACCTATCTTTATAGGTTAGGTTAGGTTAGGTAGCCGAAAAAGTTAGGTTAGGTTAGGTTAGGTAGGTTAGGTCGTCGAAAAACAATTAATTCATGAAAACTTGGCTTATTAGGCAAATCAGGCCTTGCATAGTAGGCCAAAAAGTGCGTTCTGGCTACTAGGTACGACATATATATATATATATATATATATATATATATATATATATATATATATATATATATATATATATATATATATATATATATATATATATATATATATATGTCGTACCTAATAGCCAGAACGCACTTCTCAGCCTACTATTCAAGGCCCGATTTGCCTAATAAGCCAAGTTTTCATGAATTAATGTTTTTTCGTCTACCTAACCTACCTAACCTAACCTAACCTAGCTTTTTTTGGCTACCTAACCTAACCTTACCTATAAATATAGGTTAGGTTAGGTTAGGTAGGGTTGGTTAGGTTCGGTCATATATCTACGTTAATTTTAACTCCAATAAAAAAAAATTGACCTCATACATAGAGAAAAGGGTTGCTTTATCATTTCATAAGAAAAAAATTATAGTAAATATATTAATTCAGGAAAACTTGGCTTATTAGGCAAATCGGGCCTTGAATAGTAGGCTGAGAAGTGAGTTCTGGCTACTAGGTACGACATATATATATATATATATATATATATATATATATATATATATATATATATATATATATATATATATATATAAAATCATGTGTTTGTGTCTTGCATGTGACTCTTCATCCACATAAAAGAAATTAATGTTCACATATACCAATTAAATTAATTAACTTTCTTTGTTATACAGATTCGACTTGAAAATAAAGAGAAGAAGGTGAAAGAGAGTGAGGCGGAGAGTGAGGCGACCATCAGGCACCTGCGGGAGGAGGTGGATCAACTCACACGCAAGCTGGACACTATTCACCGTAAGGTGTACGACGCTCGGGTGCGCCACGCCAGTACTGTTAATGTTCAGACTGGTAGCCTCTCATAGCATGGTGCACAGTCATCTGTTGTCGGCCAGTCATTATAAAAATAAAAGCTAATACTCATTAATGTGGATGCGAACCCGGCGGTTTGTGAATGAAAAACACTTTACATGGCGACCTGTCCTCAGACCTGGCTTGTTAAAGCATCGACTGTCACCCATGAGGCATTTATCCATTTTAACATATAATAGGTTCTCGAATATAAAAACAGTTTCTCAAATGTAAATTAATGTTACTATTCATTAAAGTTTTTTGTATAGGTTTTAAGTTATAGATTAGGTTAGGTCTTTAAGTTCTGTTGACATTGATTTTTATTTGAAGTACTGAGGTGGAGCATTTACAGGTTGTAGTTCGGACACTGTCGGGGCCCTGACAGCGGCAACCCGTTCTCACACCAGGTTGTTTAAAGCAGCGGCTGTCCTTCCCAGACGCAGTCATAAATTTTAACATTCTGAGTATAAAAGATTGGTTCGTTCTCATATATAAATTAATATTTTTATACATAAAAATTGTATGTATAGTTTTCGTAGGTTAGGTTAGGTTAGGTGTTTAGATTCTGTTGGTAATTATTTGTATCTCAACCCGTCCTCGACTCAAGTCCATTACATCCAGCGGTCGACCCCACAGACGCATTCATAAATTTTAACATGCTGTTCATTCAAAACGGGAATTTTCGCCAGTATAAATTAATATTATAATATATTACCATATTGTGCATATATAGGTATAGGATAGGTTAGGTTAGGTGTTTAGGTTCTGTTGGCGATTATTTGTATTTGTAGTACGTGGGTGAAGCATTTTTGTGAATGGTAATTATTTGGCGTTGTGATTTGAACAAAATTCGTCAGTGAAGCACTTGTTCCGGATATGTTCGAACGTCAGCAGTTGTGAGTCGTGTGTAAACCGCTTTTCATTCATAAATAGGGGGTTTGGTGGGTGGATGGAATCACTTTTGGATATTTGTTTGGAAGACGGGCTTTGTATCTATCAACCCGTCCTCGACTCAAGTCCATTACATTCAGCGGTCAACCCCACAGACGCATTCATAAATTTTAACATACTGTTCACTCAAAACGGGAATTTTCTCAAGTATAAATTAATATTATAATATATTAGCATATTGTGTATATATAGGCATAGGATAGATTAGGTTAGGTGTTTAGGTTCTGTTGGCGATTATTTGTATTTGTAGTACGTGGGTGAAGCATTTATAGCGTTGTGATTCGAACAAAATTCGTCAGTGAAGCACTTGTTCCGGATATGTTCGAATGTCAGCAGTTGTGAGTCGTGTGTAAACCGCTTTTCATTCATAAACAGGGGGTTTGGCGGGTGCATAGAATCACTTTTGGATCTTTGTTTGGAGGACGGGCTGGTATCTATACCTTTGTAGGTAATCTTGAGATGATTTCGGGGCTTTTAGTGTCCCCGCGGCCCGGTCCTCGACCAGGCCTCCACCCCCAGGAAGCAGCCCGTGACAGCTGACTAACACCCAGGTACCTATTTTACTGCTAGGTAACAGGGGCATAGGGTGAAAGAAACTCTGCCCATTGTTTCTCGCCGGCGCCTGGGATCGAACCCAGGACTACAGGATCACAAGTCCCGCGTGCTGTCCGCTCGGCCGACCGGCTTCCCATTTAGGTGAAGCATATATAGAATTGTGGTTCGAACAGAGGACGTTAGCGAAGCACTTGTTCCGGAAGTGTTCGGACGTCATTAGTTGTGAGTCGTGTGTAAACTGCTTCTCATTCATAAACATGGGGTTTGGCGAGTGCATGGAATGGACTTTGGGTCCTTGTTTGGGGGGGGCGGCCCAAAGACGAGTTCATAAATGTTAAAATGCTGTTCATTCAATATATAAATTTCCTAATATATACGTAAATATTATTATATAATAGTACATTGTTTATATTTAGGAGTAGGTTAGGTGTATAGGTTCTGTTGGCAATTATCAGTATTTGGAGTATGTTGGTGAAGAGAGTGAATAACAGACCACCCTCAACAAAAAAGACCAAACCCTCTATTTATGAATGAGAAATGGTTTACACATGACTCAAAACTGATGACTTTCAAACATTTCTCAAACAGTGCTTCGCTGACATCCTATATCCACCTAGTTGTGCTTGTGGGGGTTGAACTCTGCTCTTTCTGCCCGCCTCTCAACTGTCAAACAACTCTGTGTTTTTCGTTATGTTTTTTCACACACACACAGGAAGCAGCCCGTGACAGCTGTCTAACTCCATGGTACCTATTTACTGCTAGGTAACAGGAGCATCAGGGTGAAAGAAACTCTACCCATTGGTTTTCTGCAACCCGTTCTCGACTCAAGTCCAGTACATCCATCGGTCGACCCCACAGACGCACTCATAATTTTTTACACGCTGTTCATTCAAAACGGGAAGTTTATCAAATATAAATTAATATTATAATAATTTAGCATATTGTGCATATATAGGCATAGGTTATGTTAGGTTAGGTGTTTAGGTTCTGTTGGCGATTATTTGTATTTGTAGTACGTGGGTGAAGCATTTACAACGTTGTGGTTCGAACAAAATTCGTCAGCGAAGCACTTGTTCCGGAAGTGTTCGAACGAAATCAGTTGTGAGTCGTGAGTAAACTGTTTTTATTAAAAATCAGAGCTCTTTAATCCAGCCACCAAACCCCCTGTTTATGAATGAAAAGCGGTTTATACACGACTCACAACTGATGACGTCCGAACACTTCCGGAACAAGTGCTTCACTCAAGTCCTCTGTTCAAACCACAATTCTATAAACAGCCCGTCCTCCAAACAAAGATCCAAAAGTGATTCCATGCACCCGCCAAACCCCCTGTTTATGAATGAAAAGCAGTTTACACACGACTCACAACTGCTGACGTTCGAACATATCCGGAACAAGTGCTTCACTGACGAATTTTGTTCGAACCACAACGCTGTAAATGCTTCACCCACGTACTACAAATACAAATAATCGCCAACAGAACCTAAACACCTAACCTAACCTATGCCTATTTATACACAATATGCTAATATATTATAATATTAATTTATACTTGAGAAAATTCCCGTTTTGAATGAACAGCATGTTAAAATTTATGAATGCGTCTGTGGGGTTGACCGCTGGATGGAATGAACTTGAGTCGAGGACGGGTTGCTATAAATGCTTCACCCACGTACTTATAAATACAAATAATTACCAACAGAACCTAAACACCTAACCTACGCCTAACTATACATACAATAATTATGTATAAGAATATTAATTTATATATGATAACAAACCAATTTTTAATACACAGTATGTTAAAATTGATGAATGCGTCTGGGGAGGACGGCCGCTGCTTTAAACAGCCTGGTGTGAGGACGGGTTGGTTGTTAATTTATCTCTATACTAATTTTACATTGCTGCAGTATTTAAATTTATGCATATATGTATGTTAATTTTCATTATATGCACATGTATTATGGTATATTCTGTATTCTATAGTACACATGTATACTATGTTATATAGAGAATTTTATTATTCTAATATGTTATATTTTATTGTTGATGTGCAAGTGGGTAATTGCTAGTTGGGCGAGTGGTGGGCAGCGGGTTTCCTTACTGTCTGAGTCTGTGTGTTAGTGTATTTTCGTCAGTGCAGCCAACCTGTGCGGTGGTTGTCGGCTCCTATTCCGTTGTATATGTATAAACATTATTACTTGTTTGTATAGTTGAACATCAGTGTATGTTCCCGAGTTTGTGTAATTTTCTATGGTGTATTTTATTTTCTTTATTGTTTTATTTTCGTTTCCCTGAGAGGGTTTGTATTAATGTACAATGTTAGTATTGTTTAGTTGATCTGTGGAGACAGCGAGGAGCGGTCTTCACTATATATATATATATATATATATATATATATATATATATATATATATATATATATATATATATATATATATATATATATATATATATATATATATATATATATATATGTATATATATATATATATATGTATATTAGTATATTTTGGTAGCAGTCTTTCCTGTAGACATATATTATTAAATATGACCGAAAAAGTAAGATTAATAATTCTAACACGAATTTTCTCAATCTTTCGTACATTTCTTTTCACCCGCTGGTGGTAATTCAAAAATCAATTCTCCAAAATTCATTTTTATTTCTAGTCTGACGCGACACTTGAGCGCGTTTCGTAAAACTTATTACATTTTCAAAGACTTTAGTTTACACATACACAACTGAATAGAACTTACACATCTCCGATTTGTTTATATCTACATTTGAGTGAGGTGGATGGGGTGAGGTGGTATTAATAGGGTATTAAATTCATCAACACAAGACAGAACACGAAACAATGGGTATTGAATGGAAGTGATTGTAGAAAGCCTATTGGTCCATATTTCTTGATGCTTCTATATTGGAGCGGAGTCTTGAGGTGGGTAGAATATAGTTGTGCATTAATTGGCTGTTGATTGCTGGTGTTGACTTCTTAATGTGTAGTGCCTCGCAAACGTCAAGCCGTCTGCTATCGCTGTATCTATCGATGATTTCTGTGTTGTTTACTAGGATTTCTCTGGCGATGGTTTGGTTGTGGGAAGAGATTATATGTTCCTTAATGGAGCCCTGTTGCTTATGCATCGTTAAACGCCTAGAAAGAGATGTTGTTGTCTTGCCTATATACTGGGTTTTTTGGAGCTTACAGTCCCCAAGAGGGCATTTGAAGGCATAGACGACGTTGGTCTCTTTTAAAGCGTTCTGTTTTGTGTCTGGAGAGTTTCTCATGAGTAGGCTGGCCGTTTTTCTGGTTTTATAGTAAATCGTCAGTTGTATCCTCTGATTTTTGTCTGTAGGGATAACGTTTCTATTAACAATATCTTTCAGGACCCTTTCCTCCGTTTTATGAGCTGTGGAAAAGAAGTTCCTGTAAAATAGTCTAATAGGGGGTATAGGTGTTGTGTTAGTTGTCTCTTCAGAGGTTGCATGGCGTTTCACTTTCCTTCTTATGATGTCTTCGACGAAACCATTGGAGAAGCCGTTGTTGACTAGGACCTGCCTTACCCTACAGAGTTCTTCGTCGACTTGCTTCCATTCTGAGCTGTGGCTGAGAGCACGGTCGACATATGCGTTAACAACACTCCTCTTGTACCTGTCTGGGCAGTCGCTGTTGGCATTTAGGCACATTCCTATGTTCGTTTCCTTAGTGTAGACTGCAGTATATATATCTCGAAGTCTCTACTTCTTTTGTAGGGTCTGATGGTGTAGTGGGTTAAAGCGTACTAGTTATGGCAGCTACTGGAAGGTAGTTGTGCTTTCTGGGTTCGAGGCCCACTGGTGGGTGTTGTCCAAAGATTGTTAATCTTCACTTGTGGTTTATGCAAGTATAGGCTTATAGCATGGACACGAGTTCTCTCACATTGACAGTGGCTTGATGAAAAACGCAGAGTAACCTCACACTTGTCTAGTGCCCTCGGGAAGTGGAGATATTT